AAACCCGAAACCGAAAACCACACGTGACTCCAGCGACCTAGTTGAACTCTAACACCCCGGCCATCTTTTGCCGATATTCGCCGAATTCTGAATTCCATATGCTGCGATTGAGGGCCCGGGGCTATGTAACTCCCACGGTTTAGGGTTTAGGGTTTAGGGTTTTGGGTTTATGGTTTAGGGTTTAGGGTTTAGGGCTTAGGGTGCAATCATGGCCAACCTTTCATGTAAGGCCGCTACTGCGAGTCTGACTACTGCGGCAAGTACTGATACTCATAATATTTCTCGTGCGTGGGTTATATTGAGTGGCAAGAAAGGGTTTAGGGTTTAGGGTTTAGGGTTTAGGGTTTAGGGTTAGGGTTTAGGGCTTAGGGATTAGGGTTTAGGGAAGTTACACAGATATGCCTGTCAGGATGTATATTGTGTTGAAGCATGTCGTGTTGATTTCAAATGTGCATTCGTATGTCTCCTTGAGAGGCAGGCTTCTTTTTGTGATCATATACTCCTTCAATGTATATATGTCTACCCTAAACCCTAACAACCCTAGCATCCCTGGCAACCCTAACAACCCTAACAACCCCAACAACCCTAACAACCCTAACAACCCTAACAACCCTAAAAACCGATATAACCCCTGAACCACATCTATACATCATGTGGCATTCTCATTCTTATTACTCCTATGAGGGCCAAGGTCGCAACCCTCCAAGCGACCCTGAAAGCTCAGCCTCGAGAACCAAAACCTAAGCGCCATCAAGCTCCCAACAAAGTGGGGGTTTAGGGTTTGACCCTTAAGGTCCCGTGTACCTAAATAGGGTACTTTGAGCCTTAAAGTACCTCCTACACAGGGACTGTGGATATAATAACAGGGTACATGGACCCTTAGGGTGAGGGTTTGGGGGGGTTGGGGTTCTAGGGATTTGGATTGGAGGGGCCGCTGAACCCTAAACCCTAGACCCTAAACCCTAAACCCCAAACCCTAGACCCTAAACCCTAAACCGGCGATTTTGGGTGGGCAAAGGTGCCAGCCCAGTCGCTCGCTGCCGCCGGGTCTTCACCGACGTCGGCGATGCTGCGTCGGCGACCTACTTGCCAACTCTTTTGACTTAGTACGTCTACTTAGCATCCCCTACGAACCCTATTAGAATTCCCATAACTCGCCTTACTAGCCTTACTAGCCCTACTTACCCCCAAACCCTAAACCCTAAACCCTAAACCCTAAACCCTAAACCCTAAACCCTAAACACCTTACTAACCCTAGTAAGTCCAAAGAGCTTCCAAGGCAGGTGCGGCAAGTGCCCCAGAGGCCCCTCGAATATACCCAGAACTTCTGAAGATTCCTCTCAAGGGATCCTGGGAAGGGGCCTAAACCCTAAACCCTAAACCCTAAACCCTAAACCCTAAACCCTCCCAGCCCCACCTCTTTTCCGCTGCAAGAGCCCTCCACGTGCACATGGCAGGCCTGTAAGGCTTGGGTTTAGGGGGTTTAGGGGGGTCCAGGGCGTTTCGGGTGCTAGAGTAACCCGTGCACCGTTTACAGAAGACAAGCCTGCTTCGGCCATCACTCTGAAGCATCTTCGGTTTAGGGTTTAGGGTTTAGGGTTTAGGGTTTAGGGTTTAGGGTTTAGGGTTTAGGGTTTAGGGTTTAGGGTTTAGGGTTAGGGTTAGTTGGTTTACAGTGCTCACCCACAACCCTGCCCCCTAAACTTCAAACCTCAAAAAGCCTAAACCCTGGGCGAAGACTAATCCTTCTTTACCGAAAGCCCAGGCATCTCCCAAAGCAGGACTGGCAACAGTCTCGGGTTTACTTGGAAGTTCAGGGTACTTATTCACCAAGTATAACTGTACTTATGCAATTATAGCCATAGTAGGTATTTATTCACCAAGTATAACTGTACTCACAACTGCAATTATAGCCATATTAGGGCACTTAAGGGGCTTATAAAAAGCGGGTTATAACCCTGCGCGTCAACCGCCTTGTTTACTAGGGCGGTTGCAATTCTTGTCGCAACCGCCTCGTTTTACCAGCCGGAGCCAGAGGGTGCTTGGTTTGGGGGAGAATGGAACTGAGTTTAGAAGCTTTTTTGACCGGGTTTAGCCGTGTTTTACTGTTTTTGCCCGGGCGCGAAGTACCGTGACTCTGGCGTGACCCTGGCGTGATCCTGGCGTGACTCTTCTCTTATTTTAAAAAGGAAAGGGCTCGAACCGCCCCATTTTGCCCGTGACTCTGGCGTGACTGCTGCGTGACTCTGGCATATTCTAGAAGCTAGCACCTGGGAACTGCTTCAAACACCATCAAAATTTGCAGATTTCGCGCCGTGGAAACTACGTCTCCACATCGTCCCTGTGTCGCAACCGCCCGGTTTACCATGAAGGTTGTGAACCGCCTCGTTTTCTGCGATTGTTGGACTTGCAGGGTAAGTACAGTTATAAGTACCATGAACCTCCAAGTCCTAAACCCCACACCCTAAACCCTAACCCTAAACAGTAAACCCTAAACCCTAAACCCTAAACCCTAAACCCTAAACCCTAAACCCTAAACAGCAGGTTGGGGTTCAGGGTTTAAAAGCAAGTTGAACATCCCTCTGCAGCAAGCCTCCAAAGTCCGTCCTAGGTCACCACAACCCAAAACGCCAAACCGAAAAGCCTAAGCCTTAAACCCTAAACCCTAAACCCTGAAACCTGAAACCCTAAACCCTGAAACCTGAGACCCTAAACCCTAAACCCTAAACCCTAACCCCGAGCCCAAACAGCCTGAAAAGCACTTTGCCCAAAACCTTGGCACTCCAAGAAGGCGCCGACAAGTGGTTCTTCAAACCCCAGTTATGTAGCTCTAGGGGTTTAGGGTTTGGGGGAGAGGGTTTATAGAAATTGCATAGGGTTTGTGTCCGGAGTTTTGTGCTGTTGAAAACACATATTAACTTTTGGCTGAAAAGGGCTGATTTGACTAAACAATGCTGATAAACACGGGGTATTTCGGGCTTTTTCCAAGCCTGAATCGAAAATCCCTATGCTTTTGGCCTGAGATTTGGGGTTCTCCAAGCCCTATGTTTTGGCCCTAGATTGGGGGCTTGGGAAAACCTAAGATGACTAGCGAAAATCCCTATGTTCAGGCCTTAATTGAGGGATTGTGAAAACCCAAAATTGTCAAAAGGGTTCAGGGTCTAGGGTTTCGGGCTTAAAGGCCACATCCAATAGTCACAAAATTGTCCCTTTGGGGGGTTTCCGAGGTCGCCAAACTAGCGAAAATCTCTATGTGTTGGCCTTGATTGAAATTTATGAATGCCCACTGAAATTGGCAATTTTGGGGTTTCAAAGCCCGCGAAACTAGCGAAAATCCCTGTGTTCTGGCCTTGATTGAGAGTTTGTGAAAACACAAAAACCCAAAGAGCCCAATATTGCTTAATTAAGGAATATTCCTTAAATCATATCGGGATCCTTAATATGATTTAAGGTATATTCCTTAATTAAGCAATATTGGGCTCTTTGGGAAGGTCAAGCTCACAAGAAATTTGCCATTTGGGGTGTTTCCAAGGCGCCAAACCAGCGACAAATGGTTAAACAAAACACAAAAAGTGGCCATTTTGGTGGGTTTCCAAGGCCACCAAGCTAGCGAACATTCTTCTGCTTTAGCCTCATCTTGGGGTTTCCAAGGCCGCGAAACTAGCGAAAATTCTGATATTTAGGCCTTAATTGAGGGCTTGTGAAAGCACAAAATTTCACAAAATGAGGTAAAATGGCTAAATTTGGCCATTTGGGGAAATCCCTATGTTTTGGCTGGCCATTTGGTGATCCGCCGACCTTGGCGGCGTGTTGGATGGGTTTGAAACCTCCCTCTTAACGTGGGGGGGGGGGGGGGGGGGTAGGGGGGGTCGGTGCACAATTTTTTCGTGGAGGACCGCGCCACCCGCACAGCGTAAACAGGCGGTTCAGCACAGGGGGTAGGGGGGCCCTCCCCCCCCCCCACCCCCACCCCCCCCCCCCCCCCCAACCCCCACCCACCTGTGTTTTTGGCAGCTCTGGTGCTACCCCCTACCCCTGACTCTGCCGAGCAGTGCGAGCGGGTTTAGACCTCTCAACTATGCTCCAGCGGGGTCGGCGGCTTGAGCCGGAGGCTCTTAAATTTTCCAAGGCCACCAAGCGAGCGAACATCCTTATGTCTTTGCCCTTGATTCAACATTATGAAAATTGGCCATTTGAAGGGTTTTGCAGGGCGGCCATTTCGGGGTTTCCAAGGATTTAACATTGTGCTTAGTGAAGCTATATAAATTTCCTATTCATACAGGTCTTGAGGGTTTAGGGTTTAGGGTTTAGGGTGTTTAGGGAACTCGGGGACCCTAAAATAGACCCCCCCCAAATAGTAGAATACCTGTAGATTAGGGACCCCCAATTATTCAATAAGGTACACCTAATTTCGGAAACCCCCATTTGCCTGCACCCAACGACCTTACATGAACAACCTTTCTACACCCCACCCCCTCCCACAGAGGGGATGTCGGTTACTTGCTGTAGGCGCTGGTTTCCTCTAACAGGGCCCTTAAATGGGAACCCCACATATAGCCTCTAAACCCCCAGGGCCCCTACTTCAGAACCCTTTAAGAAAAGTAAGGGACCATGTTAGGGGGCCATGTACAAACTTGAAGACGTAAGTCCTAAACCGTTTGTGGAATGGATCCTTAAGCCGGGTCAGAACCGGACTCTGATCCCTATATGTTGCGAGGGTATGGGGTTTGGTTTGTGTTTAGGGTTCTAAGTTTTGGCAGCTAGGGATTGAAGTTTCAAGGCTGGGATCTTGGGGGCTTGGGTCTGTGCATCTACCTAACCTCAATGCACCCACACAATGCTTGCCTTGCATTTTGGGGTAGGAATATAAGAGGCGATTATGAAGCTTGCTGGGTTCAGGAAAAGCCATCGCACGCAGGAGCCCTGGTTCAGAAACCACAAGCCCAAAAAGTACCCTAAAGCCCACCTCGCGGACGTCGGAAACCGTCGGACTGGAGTCTATGCCGCAATGCGGACAGCAAGGCACTGCATGCACTGGCGAGTCAGGTGTTGGCGTACCCGGCATTGGAATGCCAGGCGCTGGCATGCCGGGCATCGGCATTGGCATGCCGGGCATTGGCATTCCGGGCATGGGCATGCCGGGCATCGGCATTCCGGGCACTGGCATGCCGGGCATCGGCATCCCGGGGATGGGCATTCCAGGCATTGGCATTCCAGGCATTGGCATGCCGGGCATTGGCATGCCCAGCATTGGCATGCCGGGCATGGGCATGCCAGGCATCGGCATTCCGGGCATCGGCATGCCGGGCATCGGCATGCCGGACGCTGGCATGCTGGGCATGTGCGTGCCTGGCGTTGGGCTGGGCATGGGCATGCAGGGCATGTGCATGCCTGGCATACCTCGTCTTCAGAGTTTACGGAAGCCAAAACAAGGGTTCATGGATGCAGGTCATATGGGTGGTTGTCAAAATTATGATTCCTTTGGGGTACCCTAAATATTGGGTGCCGTATTATAATAGGGATCCAAAAAAGGGACCATAATTCTGACAACCACCCATATGAGGACAACTAAGACAATGTGCAAGGCGTCAGTTCAGCTCTAGAGCCTGAACCCTAACCCTAGGGCTCCAAGTACACAAATAATACCTACATTGGGGTCCAAAGTCTGTAAATAATACCTACTTTGGGCTATTCGGAGCCTTAGGGTAAACCCGAGAACCCCGACCATGTGATGCCGCTGTTACCGTTGGAAGGTCGGAGCACAACTCCTAAGGACCCTAAACCTGATACCCTAAAACCCTAATAAACCCTAATAAACCCTAATAAACCCTAATAAACCCTAATAAACCCTAATAAACCCTAATAAACCCTAATAAACCCTAATAAACCCTAATAAACCCTAATAAACCCTAATAAACCCTAATAAACCCTAAACCCTAAACAGGTCGGCCGGGTCGGCAACAACAGGTCAAGTCGCGAGTGGTTTAAGGCTTTGGGTTTAGGGTTCAAACCTTCGGGTTTAAGGTATGAGGTTGCGAATATAGGCCTGCAATGTTGGGCGAACATACTACTTGCTGGGGTCTTTGAACCATGCAAACAACCTGAAACCCCAAAACCTTAACACACTACAGCGGACTCTCAAGGCCCTGATGAATTTCGATTGGCCACATAACCTGGAACATAATGGGTGCGTAACCCCAAAAAAACCTGAACCCCAAACCCGAAATCCTAAGCTCAAGAAGGCTTGGCTGCACTCAGGAGGGTAGCTATAAACTAAACTTTTAGCTTCCTGATTTAGAAACTCACCACAAAGTCAGGGTACTACTAGGCATCCTCATCCCGATTGCATTATGGGTTTTTAGGGTGTGGGCCAGTCTAAACCCGAAACCCTGAACCCTGTTTAGGGTTTAGGGTTTAGGGTTCAGGGTTCAGGGTTTAGGGCTCAGGGTTTTGGGTTTAGGTGCCTTAAGAACCCCAAAGCCCTTTTGGGGACGTTCTTGCTTATAAAGCCCTTCTGAGGCAGCCGTAGGTTGTGGATTCTTAAGGTTTAGGGTTTCGGGTTTAGGGTTTAAGGATTAGGGTTTAGGGTTTCGGGTTTTCGACCTTGGGGCTTCGGGTTTCGGGCTTCGGGTTCAACCTGGAGCAACGGGGCTAACGGGCGCTAAGGGGTCTTGCGTCACCCAGTAGTCTGACCATGCAAGCGCCTAAACCGTAAAACCTAAAACCTGTACCCTAAACCCTAAACAGAAATCGGAACACCCTTGAAATTACGGTGCAGCTTCGCAGCTTACCACGAAGAAGGGCGGCGTGGGCATCGCCTGCAACGTCGACCCGTGTAGGCTTCGCCCAGGAACTGCCAGGTTTAGGGTTTGGAGTTGAGGAACCCTTAACCCTTATCCCTAAACCCTAAACCCTAAACCCTAAACCCTAAACCCAAACCCTACACCCAAAACCCTGAACCCTGAACCCTGAACCCTAACAGGAGACTTCGGCCCCTGGAAGTATCAGGTCACTCTCAAAACTCAGGCGAAAACGGGAAGACACCCGAAACACGCCTAAGCACCTGGGACCCAACAGGGCCGCGATACTTGGGGCCCTATGGAAGCTTGGGTATAGGCTCTGGGGTCTAGGGCTTAGGGTTTAGGGTTTAGGGTTTGGGGTTTAGGGCTTAGGGTTCAGGGTTTAGGGCTGCGGCGCCTGCACAGGGAGTTGTTGCGTCTCAGGGCCTGCGTCCTTCGCGGGCTTTGGCGACTCGTCAGCTTCCTGTGGGGCGGCTGCTATACATGATGGTCCCCCTGTGGGGTTGGGGTTTAGGGTTTAGGGTTTAGGGTCTATAGGGTCTATAGGGTCTCTAGGGTCTATAGGGTCTATAGGGTCTATAGGGTCTATAGGGTCTATAGGGTCTATAGGGTCTATAGGGTTTATAGGACTTCGGGTTTAGGGATAAAGGTTGTTAGGGTTTCCATGTAGGGTTGTTGGCTATAGGCATATATGTTGGTTCCCATGTAGGGCCTTTTTAGGGTTCTATGATGGTCTCCAATTTCAAATTTAGGTTCTGACATGGTCCTCCCATTTAGGGTTTAGGGTTCTGAAATGGTCCTCCCATTTAGGGTTATACAATGGTCCCCCCCCACCCCCGTTCTAGGTCTAGGGTTTCTGGATTAAGGGCTCTTCGGGATCTGTATATTGCTCCCCTTCTATTAAAGGTTGAAGGTTATACGACGCTCCCACGCCCCTAGGCCACAAACACTGGACGTAAGGAATCCCTCCTTACCAGGGGTACCTCAATCTCGGGCCAAGTAACTCTGCATCTCATGCATTTAAGCACCCCTTGAACCCTAGAGCCCTAACCCCAAACCTTGCACCCTAAGCCCAGTTTGCCCTGGAAATGCGCCCTAAACCCTAAACCCTAAAACCTAAACCCTAAACCCTAAACCCTAAACCCTAAACCCTAATATCTTGGCTGCGTTCCAAGAGGCTGAGTCGAGCTGGTCACCCATGTGATCCTGTCTTTGCTGGTTTAAGGGTTTAGGGTTTAGGGTTTAGGGTTTAGGGTTTAGGGTTTAGGGTTTTGGGTTTTGGGTTTTGGGTTTAGGGTTTGGCGTTTGGGGTTTGGGGTTTAGGGTTTAGGGTTTAGGGCTTGTCTAGTGCACGGTTTAGGGTTTAGGGCTTGGGGTTGCGTGCCTTACAAGGCTTATCTAGACCCAAGAGTAACCCATGAATAAACAAGTTTGCGCTTTCTGGTTGAAAGAGGCTTATCAGGGCACCCAAACCTTACAAAAAGAGAATAAGGGCCTACTCGGCGTCCTTGTTATACTGTTTCGGAGTGAGGGTGGGCTTAGGGGTGGCATTTTCCGGGGCGCGGGTGTTTAACAAGGCAGAATCTGTGTTAGGGAAAAAAGGAGGAACGTGCCCAAAGTCCCAAAGTCGTGGGGCAGGGCTAATACACGCCAAACCCTAGACCCTAAACCGAGAGGGATGTGCAAACCTCGTGTCTCGGGTGGAGGGTTTAGGGGTTAGGAAACCATAAACCCTAAACCCTAAACCGCAGGGTAGGCCTCTCAACCCTGAACAAACAATTCCCGGACACAAGGCACGGTCCTGCAGCAAACCTACACCCCAAACCCCCAAATACAAACTAAGCCACTAGACAAAACCTTAAGCCGCCTGCCCTACAAAGGCACTCAAACCTTAAAGAATTAACACCCTCAAAAGTCTCAAACTCTACACCCCAAACAAACCCTCAACACTCAACGCTGCACCCTCAACAAAAACACCTGAACCCGAAACCCTAAAGCTTAAACAACCCCTAAAGCTCTTTGCTTTTTAGGGTCCAGGGCTTTGCTGTCTAGGGTCTTGGCTATTTACTTTGTATAAACCCGAAACCCTACACCCTACACCCTAGGCCCTAAACCCTAAACCCTAAACCCTAAACCCTAAACCCTAAACTCTAAACCCTATAAACCCCCATCCCTCTTTAGGGTTTGTCAGCATGTCCCATGTCTCTTCGACATCTGGCAGGGTATGTGAGCTACGACCGCCAACATGGTTTAGGGTTTAGGGCTTAGGGTTTAGGGTTTAGGGTTTGGGGTGAAGGGTGAAGCCCCCCCCCCCCCCCTAACCCAAAGCCCTAAACCGCGAACTGTTATTTATGACACATCTTCAGGAGAGGAAGACGCTGACAACAGCTAAAGACCCTAAAGACCCCCAAAACCCTAAAAAACCTAACGGCGCTAAAACCTTAAAGACCCTACCCTGAAGACATAAACTAAAGGCCAAAAAAAAACAAAACAAAAACACACACACACACACACACACACAAATAAAAAACTAATGGCAATGATACATCAAGAAGTAGGGCCCTGACCGCAAGTTGCAATGTGGTTGGGGACTTGGCCGTGTACCACGCGTCTTCGAACAAGGGCATGGGATCCATGGACATCGTCCTGGGCTTCGGGGGGGGGGGGGGGGGTTCGGGGGCTATTGGAGTTTAAGGTTTATAGGGTTTAGGGCTAGGGGTTTGGGGTTTAGGGCTAGGGTTTAGGGTGTAGGGCTCGGGTTTGGGGTTTTGACAAGGGCTTACGGTTTGGGGCTTGAGGCTCGGGTTTACGGGCTTAGGAGTTTAGGGGTTTAGGGATCAGGGTTTCCGAAGCTCGTGAACACTGAGGTCCTTGAACCAAAGACTTCAAATCTGGGCTCAACGTGAAACAAAACAGGCATCGAAGTCTTGAACTCGAACTAGACTTCTAAACCCCCGAACCCCAAACCCCTAAACCCCCAAACCCTCTAAACACCCAAACCCCTAAACCCCTAAACCCCTACACCCCTGAACCCCTGAACCCCTAAACCCCTAAACCCCTAAACCTCTAAACCTCTAAACCCCTAAACCCCTAAACCCCGAAAGCCCTAAAGCCCTAAACCCCTAAACCCTAAACCCCTAAACCCCTAAACCCATAATTCTAAACTTTAACCCGAGACCCTGAACCCTGAACCAACAAGCCAAATGCCCAAACTCCAGCAGTCCCGCAGACTCTATCTCCTGCCCTTGCCGCCAATACGGTGGCTGGTCAAGAAGGGCTTTGGGGTTTAAGGTTTAGGGGTCTGGGGCTTAGGGTTTGTAGGGATTTAGGGTTTAGGGGTTTAGGAATTTAGGGGTTTAGGGGTTTAGGGATTTAAGGGTTTGGAGGATTGCGGGTTTAGGGTTTAGAGGTTTAGCCGTTTAGGGGTTTAGGGGTTTGGAGGTTTAGGGGTTTGGAGGTTTAGGGGTTTAGGTTTAGGGGTTTAGGGGTTTAGGGTTTAGGGGTTTAGGGTTAGGGTTTCGGGTTTAGGGTTTGTGGTTTAGGGTTTAGGGGTTTAGGGCTTCAGGGGTTTAGGGTTTCGGGCTTTCGGGTTTTAGAGTTTTAGGGGTTTAGGGTTTAGGGTTTCGGGGTTTCGGGTTTTAGAGTTTTAGTGGTTTAGTTTTTAGGGTTTTCAGGGATTCTCGATGACCCTCATG